TTCTGACAATGTTCGAGTTCCTCTTGCATTGTCTGAATCTGTCCATGACGAGGAGGATTTTGACAGTTTTTCCCCTCCTTCTAACTATGTCATGCATTTCCTTCGAGATATACTAGGCTTATCTTTGCCTTTTGGATATGCTTTCTCAAGTGTGTTCTGTTTCACCATTTACATGATACCTTTTTTCCATGACACCCATCATTAAGGTCACTTGTTTTCCCTCCATCCCCTTAGCTTCTTAGCAAGCTGATCAACCCTTTCTCGACTTCCAGCAGTTGGAGTAACTTTTGCCAATGCGGGGGCCTGTCCTTTATAATCCTGTCCATTTCTCTCACATCCACTTTTCCACCTTTTTCTTATCCTTAAAGCTCTCCTGCAGTACTTGTCCAACAAACATCCTCCTTTCTGAGACACTCAACCAATCCCCTGAGGGTTTTTCGGGGGATACACTTCTCCTCCTTCTTTCTCCTTGGCACTATTGTCCTTTTTGGTCCTATCTCTTCACACGTGGTTTTGTTGCTGTTGGGACCGTATTGGAAAGGATGCTGTCTTTTCATCTACCTTCCCCTTATCTTTGTGACTTTTGGATGGCTCCTTTCCTCAATTGGTTTGTTTCTGGAGATTTTCCAGAATCCTTGGAATCACGTGTGGACTCTGTGAGTCCACATTCGACCCTTTAGTCTTTGGTTACCCATTTTTCTTATTCTTATACCATGACTTCTTCCATAATTGTTTCTCATCTGGCAACCTCCCTTCCTTTACCAGTTCCTACCATTAGGGGTTCGAAATCTTGCCATGTGGTTCAAAGTTGAATTCATTGTCACCAGCAATTCCAGTAACATTCAGGTGGCATCCAGTCTGGTGGGAGCATGTTTGGCCAATTTTGTTTCCTTGTGGTGGTTATTCACTACCAATTCTTGGGTGATCCAAGTTTTGCCAAAAGGATTTTTCCTCATTTTCTTTTCCCCCTCTATCTTTGTCTCCCGTACCATTTTCTTTCCCATTAACTATCCAAAGTTGTGCTTACTTTTCTATCACAGAGAGCTATCAAGCCTGTGAACCAACCTTCTTTGGGATTTTTTGTCCTGTGATCCATCTGTCCAGCCTCAACCAATTTCTAGTTCTTCCCCAATTTCCCTTGGAGTCCTTTATCACACTCTGGGACTATGGATGACCAAGGTATATGTCTTGAATGCCTATCTCCATATTCATATTTCTCATCAGTCCAGATGCTATCTTCGGTTTGTCCACTAAGTGGTTGTGTATCAGTTTTTGCCTGGTCTTTCGAGCTTGCTTCAGCATCATATGTATTTTATTAGGTGGTCAAGGTTTTTGCCTGACGTTTGCACACTCTAGGGTTGTGCTTGCACAACTACATGGGAACTGGCTTCTGTTAGCTCATTCTGAACTGGAGTTTTCTCAACACATGCATCTGCTGTTGACAGTAGCAGCTTATGTTGGTTGAATTCTACAGTTGGAGAAGTTTTCTTTTGCCCACTCACTATTTTACCCACTTGGGTGTATTTTTCAACACTCCCTCACTTTGGCCCATTCTTCTCCATTTGCTAGTGCTTTTAGTTCTCCATGCATTTACTGCTTGCTCAGTTTCTGCACATAAGGTTCTGTCACTTTTGAGGACTTGGGCTTCTATGGAAGCCCTTATTCCTTTGGGTCAGGTACATATGCATTCTCTTCAGAGGTCTCTACACAATCCATGGAATCTTGCTCAGGATTCCTTGGACTCCCCAATTACCCTTCCTCCTTCCTTTACAGACTTTCTGCATTGATGGTTGAACAAGGACAGTACAACGAAGGGAGTATGGTAATACTCATTTTAATGCTTTTGCCATTTTACTCTAACACTAAATTACCTCCTTTTTGGTCTCATTGTCCTCAGACCCTTGCAGTGGATTATCTCAGTCAGAACTGGACCAGCCAGTTCAATTTACATTCCTTCCAGACTGATTGATCTCCTCGTTGTGTGGTTTTCCACATAATTTTTTTTTTACTCAAAACTTTGGGAGCTCATTAGGATCCTCTTCCTTCTCGCCATTTTCTCACCTTTGTTCCCAATCTGCTTCAGATAGACTTCTATGTCCAGTATGTGTTATTTGTTGTTCCACTGCCTGCATGGCCTCCTTTTGTGGTTTCCATTTCCACCTTTTCATTCCCTGGTAGCGTTCATCTGTACATGACCTTTCTTCTTTTATACTTATAATTTGGGATCATCAGCTGATTCTATTGGCCTATTCCTCCCTGTCTATTTCTTCCCAAATTCTGTTCCAGGTGTTTTTGTTTAAGATCGGGCACCTTCCCTTTTTCTTGGAGTCTCACCTCTGTCATCCATTAAAGGAGGCTCTTCATTCAGGCATGTGGCCTACTCCTCATATGTTCATCTCCCACTATCTTCATTGGTTAGTTGTTTCTTCCTTGTCTGGGTACCACCTTTTGCCTGTTGCCTTCCTTTAAACTGTGTGGCTGTGACTGGGTAAGTAATCTTTTCGGAACTTGCTTAGTAGCGAGCATTGTCTGTCCAGGTATGCTTCCTATATCTCAAATCCGCACTGTACAGCCATGAAGAAGCAATAAAACACAATATACCTATGACCAATAATGCACACTGTTCAGATAGAGTGTTCCACAAGATCGCTAATGGATTTTTTACACTATATTTGCTTCAATAATATTGTTACGTCTCTGTTCGTTATGTTACGTCTCCGTTTGTTAATTAACTTTCCGTAACTTCGTTCCGACGAAATTTTAACGACACAAGTCTTTATTTAATAAAACTGGTTTATTCTTTCCGAATATAACTTTACCGATACACTCAACTTCAACAATCGCGCTAAACAAACGCTATAACAACGAACATCAATAATACTTCTGACTGCAGTTCAATTACTCACTGTCTACTCACACGCATCACCCCCCTTCTCGCGTCACCGTTTCCCCCTCTTATATATACCCCAGCCTACCCTACTAGTAAATACT